GATTTCACACTCCACTTTGGACCCAGACATTTAATTTGTGGCCCATTGAAAACCCTTACTCTGGTCTTGCCATAGTCAGTAGAAACCCTTGGGGCATATATTCCTACACTAGTTCACACCTTTCTCCCTACCTTCACCCCAGAATTGTACTTTCTTGTAATTTCTGCTCTCCAATGATCTATCATCTCATGTTAGAAACAAAAACAAAGTGAAAAAAATTGGGGTATTTATCTAGCATTTTTAGGTGTCTAAACCAAAAGATATTTGTCTTCACACCTAATCTATCATATTGTCAGAAACAGGAGTCCTCATTTGGTTTTTAAAACACTTACCCAAGATATTAGCATGATCTGAGTAAGTGTTAAAAATGACTACCCCACCAGACTGTGTACTAAACAATAATGCCTGCCTCTAGCCTGACATCTGAATCATTTCTTTTGCCCTCAGCTACTGCAGAAAGGGGCAGGGACAGAGACAGCCTGTCAGTTGCTTAATGATCTCAGTCAGGCAGAGAATTCAGTACAAGCTAAGTAGTAAATACTGAGTCACAAGCACATGCCCTCTAGCAAATGAGGTTCCAGTGTACACGAAGAACAACAATAACTGCGTATTCCCAGTGTTTTTAAATAAATAGGTATCTTGCATCAGCAATAACTTTATATTTTATTGTAAGGCAATACAAATAGTATGTAATTCCCCAGGGACCACCATAAAATATTCACTTTTTAAAACCAGTTAGTTCCTGTCCTGTGTTACGAGTTTTCAGGATCAGTCAGTGTTTCTTCTCACATAATAAGTTTAGATACAGTCCTTCAGGGAAAGGAATGTATTGCAGTTATAACCTTCAATTAACCATCATATCTTGGTAACAATATTTTCTAGGTCCCCAGGCAAAATAAAGCACAGCTGTTTGAATTAGTATTCTAGTTCTCTTCTTTACTTTCATAAAGGAAACATTCAATATACATAACGATCTTATAAAACGCAGGAAAATGCCAAAGGAAGTCAAGGAAAATTAGCTTGATGCTTGAAGTTTTCTAGCTGTAGAATGTTAGAGAAATCCATGCTGCATAATGCATGACATTTTCTAATTTTAACTAGACAGCTCTGTAGCCATTGCAGAGAACACCTTACATAAAACTGAACCATATGAAATTGATGATATTCTACTATTTTTGACCTTCAAACTTAGAAATTCCATAAGGTTCAACCTAACATTTTATCTTCCTAGTTAAAATTGATTCTTGCTTGTCTGGGAACTATGAAGTTATGACATAATGGAATTGAAGCCACTCTGTGGTGTTCTGTGGAACATAAAAAGGTGATCTGTCAGACATATTAATAAAAAGGAATTTAAATATGCCTACTTTTCATTTAGGACCACCAGCAAAATTGGTATACCAATGGTATCAAATTTTGTTTAGATGTTCACTTTTAACTATGCCTCTGATACTCTGTGGTTCTTTTCATCCATGCAGCATTCTTCTGATGCATTTTTCTCCATTTGTGCTGTGTTTCTCTGTGATGTGAATTCATCCCTATCCATTCTGTCATGCCTCCATTTTTCACTGCTTCTTCAGGTTGCACTGAGCCGTAAGAGGTAAGCTCCATCAAAAGAGGGAAAATTGAATTTCCTTTGAGTCCAGGAAGAATCCTTTGTCTAAGGTATTCTATAACCCTGCTCCTAAAATCAGTACTTTCTAACTTACACTTTGAAAGGAACTTATAAGGAAAATAATTCCCCATAGCCACACCCACACTAGACTGCCTTGAATACTCTTCCACACACACTGTGAAGTTGATACTTGTTGCTAAGTATCTTCTACTAGGATTCATAGTTGAGTACTTAGCTTTGTACCGCAGCAGTATCCTCTGTTTTCTGTACAGTAACATACACACTACAATATCCCAGAAATTGGTAGTACTCAGTGCCATCCCAAGTGTGCTTTCACCTACCAGGTTTATGAGGCTTATAATAAGAAGGCAGTATTTAAGTCACGCTATGTCATCATCCCTTAATTCGAACAGTGACATTTCCAAAAGTTACTGGGTTTGATCCAATTTACATGGACCACATTTATCAGATAATAACCAACCCTCCCTTTAATGTTGTGCTGTATGGTTAATTAATGGGAATTATTTTGATAATCTCAATTCTATTTCCCAACTTAGATTAGGATTTCTTAGGGCTGGTAACTGATGATGTCTGGGTTTTATCATAAGAAGCTTTTCAGAGCAGAGAATTAAAATTTCTTTTCATTCAAAACACCTTGAGCTTCCTAACCAAATAAAAACATATTTTCTAAAGAAGGCAAGCCAATCGACATAGGAAACCTTACATAGCACAATTTGGGTTTTTTATTCATCTTCCGTTAGTCCTCTCAGTGCCATCTAATAGTTAAGAGCAATTAAAGGAAAAAAAACCCACCTCTGCCCCATACATTTGAGTTAGGTTAAGTTTTACCCTTGTTCGTCATGAAGGAGCCAGGGTTCATAACATAATGCTATTCCAGCAGTGTTGTTTCTGTCTTCCCATCATAAAGCAATGAATCCCATTGTTTTTTATTGGAAATGTGTCAAAATGTGACAGGCTAAAAATAAATTTGCATCACTCGCCTTGCCCTCCAGACTGGCGTTCGTTTTTAGAGATAGATGTTCCAGCCTTTTCCAGATGCAGATTAGCATATCTGAGATGTTTAGTAAAATGAATATTTAATACAAGAAGAGAGTATAGATATTTAGTCGGTATATTATGGCACCACAGTAATGATAGGTTTGATACAGAAAGTCATCTGACCCTTTGCAATCTAAAGTCTTTCTATCCCTGTGACCTGCTGCCAAGTCTTGGCACCGATAGTTTCTCATCATCAGTGTCCATCTTTTATTAATGATAGAGCCTCACCATTGTGTTTATCTTGTATTTTGCTTTTTCACATAGATTAACTTTGTCATGGCAATACAACATATGCTTTGTAAAATTAAGTCCCAACATAAATAAATTTCTTATTAGAATTCTTGATGGTTTCATTTAAGTTTTAGACAATGAGAAAATGCTTAATGGGCTAACTTACTTGAATCATCCAGGGTATTTGAGATAGTGTGGTACTCCACAGTATGAAGTAGCCAACTCTGCCTGAAGAACGAAGGGATTAAGGAAGGCTTCTTGGAGGAGGTAACTAAACTGAAGCTTAAAGTGGGAATTTTCCAGATGGAAAAGGGGCTTAAAGGCTCTGCAAGTCATGGAAACAACACATGGAAACGTATGAGATGTCATATCTGGGAGACTGACCAGTTTGACATAATTGGACCACAGAGCACTTGAGATGGGGATAGAGAGAGGTGAACCAAATAACGAATGTCAGTTATCTTTATTCATTGATGACTAAGGTAGATTGAACCTATAATATATTTTAAATGGGAAAATAATGTGATTATACATTTGTGTTTTAGTAAATAACATTATATGACATTATTGTCTCTTTTGTTTTTTTTAATTTTTTGGCTGTGCCGCATGGCCTGTGGGATCTTAGTTTGCAACCAGGGATCGAAACTGCACCCACTACATTGGGAGCGTGGAGTCTTAACCACTGGACCGCCAGGGAAGTCCCAATTGTCCCAACAGTGACTTTCTACATGCATTCTAGAAATCATCTTTTCCCAAGGCTTATATGAGTATAAATTAAGACAATGTAGATACCAAAGAGGAACTAGTACAGATCTGGGCATGAGAGAGACCTGAGATTGAATCCTGTGTCGATTTCTTCCCAGCTATATAATAGTGGAAAAATTATACCTTATTTTAAAAAAATATTAAAATAAAGATATTGTTTCACAGGGTTGTTATGATAATTACAATTTATAAAAACTTATTGGCGCATATTGATATTCTCTGTATATTAGCCCCTATTTTAACATTATGGATCGATGGATTGTTAAGAATGCTATTGCTTGAACGATGAAAACGGTTTCAATTTGAAAACGTGCTTACTAAGCAACCTATGGTTATTAGGTAACTGAGGTGATAGCTAATATTGTGATGTATATTTTTTTAACTGGCACAAATGAATTTTTGATGTATGTACTTTTTGTGACCTGTTGACCTATGGGAAACTTCACACTCCTTCCCTTATTATTATCATTTTTTTTTTTTTGGCTTATAAAGAATTCAGTAGATATCTCACTCTTACCAGTTTCTGGGTATCAACTAAAAGCTGTTTCTTTTATTTTTTCAAGCACGTCTTGACAAGATGGAGCCATATTTTTATTTTCCTGAACAAATGCTCTGTTTTTCATTTATCAATTAAGCAGTTTCCTCTTTGTCATTTTCAATTGAAACCATGCCTATTTGAGCAGAATTTGGTCTGTTTATGAAAAATTGGGGAAAGAGACTAACTCAATCTAATTTATTTATTTGTTTGTCTGTTTTTCATTTCAGGCCCCATTTTATTCTCTGTTTTCTCTCACAACTCAGCCTAATGTAATAAGTTTTTCCTTTTCTTACTAGGCAAAACGAGGGAGCAGTTGCACTTGCTTGGAGCTTGTGGATGGTCCTACATAACAAAATCCCTACTGACACCTTTGGTTAACATACGACTAGTTCTAGAAATTGAATATGTGTTTGCATCATGTTAATTTTAGGTTTAAAAAAAGCATCATATTTAAAACCTTCTGATTAAAAATTATTTCACACTTAAATCCCAGCTGTCTCTGAAATATGCAAAGAGTCATGAAATTACTGGATATTCTCCAAAAGGAGAAAACTAAACTCAGAAACCTACTTAAAATGTCTAATTTTTCAATACCCAAATTTGCCTTCATGGATTCATTTCCCAGATTTCCCACTATTATTGTAACCATGCTAACACTACCCTGGGAAATATGGCTAAACTAAGTCAAAATACGGAGACGAAAATAAACTAAGAGTATATAGTCATTCAATTTAAGTTCAACTTCATTGTTTGTTAATCCTACATTACTCTTTCCTTAACAACCCTACTCAGGAAGCGCCTGTAGTAGCCAGAGCAGCGCTGTTCCTGGAATGTGCCCGTTTTGTTTACCGCTGCAACCGTGGCAACTGGCCAGAGTGGATGAAAGGGCATCATGTGAATATCACCAAGAAAGGCCTTTCCAGGGGACGGTCTCCCATTGTGGGCAACAAGCGGAACCAGAAGCTGCAGTGGAACGCTGCCAAGCTCTTCTACCAATGGGGAGACGTGAGCTTTTGATTTTCTTCTATAAAAATTAGGCTGAGTGAAGTGAAGAAGTTTTGTGTTTATGTTTCTTCATTTGTTTGGGAGACAGTTTATTGAGTATCCGTTATGTACCAGGCACTGAACAGAACATTTCAGGGGAAAATAAGTGTAATTCATTTAATCTTCCCAGTAAATCGACAAAGTTAGACATTATTATCTCTTCTGTCTCTTTTCCTGGTCCTCTGCCTCTTTCCTTCCTATAAATGTACATTCTCAGCATCTCTTATAATTGCTTCCTGTATATTCTGCACCAGGATTACATTTATTCCTGTATTTTCAACTGTTAGCTGTATGCCAGGGGCACACACTTCTCTATCCATAGCACTCTTTGGATCCCCGACCAGCATCACCAACTGTACTTTGGAGGCATTCACTCAATGTCCTGAAACTCAGTCTGACCAAAATAAAACCCTTCTCTCCATTTAAACACACCCCCATCTTGAATTTTCTATTCTTATTGATAGTACCACCATCATCTAAGATGACAGCCTTGAACATATTCCAAACCTTCTTTTCTTATTGATTCCACCTCTTCCATGTCACTGATGCCCTTTTAGGTCAGAACTTCATTACTTCTCATCTATATGATGAAAGCATTTTCCTATTTAGTCTCCTCCCACAATCTCCCCTCATCTGACCCATCCTACACACTGCCAGTAAAATCATCTCCCTTTGGCGTAGCTCATCTAAAAGCAGAACATTCGTACTTATCTTCCAGCCTCCAGACTTGCTCCCTCCAATTCATTCTTCAAACTGCTGTCAGAGTGATTAGGCTAAAATGCAAATCACATTATAGTGCTTCAGTGGCCCTCCTTTTCCCTTGGGATAAAACCCAAATTGCTTAGCCTGGCATTGCTGCTCTCTCCACAACCTTTGTTCAAATCACACCAAGATTATGGATGATAAAGGCAAATGAGCTAATGTATCTAAAAAACATTTATCTCAATGCTTTGCATCTAAGAGGTGTTCAATAATAATGTTATTATATTAATTCTTGCAAGCAGGGTATATGATTTTTCTGTGCATTGTTAGGCAGCTATCACAGTGTTCCTCGAATGAGTGATAAGGTTCTCCCCCACTCAGAAAGTACCTTTCATCCTTCTTCAGAACGCAAAATGAAGTCCAGCTTCATGAACTGTAGGATCTAGTCACAATCTACCTTTCCAAGCCCTCAGGCACATTATTTCCTCTCACAGAATTGTGCTTCAACCAACTGGCTTATTTGTCAGTCTGAACATGTCAGTGCATTTCCCTGAATATGGATATTTTGAAACTCTCCATCCGGAATATCCACTTTTCCCCTTCCCCATTAGCCTACACAGCAATTCTTCAGAATCTACAGGAATGAAACTTTGTATGATCCTCTGAGATGAATCTGATTTCTCCATATTCTAATAAATAAAGTGCTTTCAGTCTTTTACACGACTGTTATTTTGGTATGTTATTACCACCCCAATTGACTGTAAGCTCCTTGAAGTAAAGAGCAAGACACAGAGTCAGATACCCTATTTGACTCCAAGTTCAAGGTTGCTGAGCAACCTAGAGCAAGTCTTTCAACCTAACTTTCCTAAGTGCCAAACAATGATCCTTCTTTATGAAGGTTTATAATCTACTAGGGCACATTAAACAAAGATACTGATGTACTATAATAATTTATTCAACTTTATTTTTACTTAATACGTAACAAATTACCTCACCTAATAAATATTTGATGAATGAAAAAGGAATAAACATATTCCCAAGGCACTTTTCTGGTCTTAGAAGAGACAGAGAGCACTAAATTATTATTTAGGTATTTAGTGTTATCCCAGACAAGTTCATTTTTTGAGCAACCTTTTAAGCTTTATGAACTGTGGGTTTAACTTAAATTGCTTGGTTTCAGCATCCTGGGAGGATCGATGTAGATTTTTTTTTTCCCCTGTGAATCTCACTATTAAATCTGCTGGCTCCACTCCAGACTCATAATTCCACTTCTCCTTCCTTAGAGAGGATTTCCAAAAGAGTAGCATCAGGACAAGGCTTTTTGTTGAGGTGGTGGTTTTTGCTTTTATGTTTTGTTTGCTTAAAACTTCTCAGGTTAGCAGCTAAAATTTTAGGATGCTGTGATATTTTTCTACACTGCTTTCTTTCTCCTTTTTGTGGTTTTTGTTACTCCCCACTTAATTCCAGAGTTTAAGCAGACACCTTTGTTTTCAGATAGCCAAGACGTTCAAACAACTTGTGTTTTTATTTAAAGTGTTCTGGACATATCTTTGTCAGTTTCCTGTAGTGAATCTAATCTCTTGCATGCCCAGAATGTAGTAACTTTTCTAAATATTTGAAAAAGATGATATAGGAAGAAAAAAGAAAAGTAGCTGGAATTTTGCTCGTATTAATGCACAGAGTAACCAAACTGTCAGATTCTATGTTCAGTGTTCATTTTAGCTTTTTGACTCTCTTTCTTAAGCATGCATCTCCTCTTTTGTTGCATACAATTTGTCATTGGAATGTAAAAGGAATTAGATGTAGCATATTTTGTCTTTTCATTTGGAAAATTCCTTTTGGTAAATCAGACAATACTACATGATGATTCAGAAGAACAGATAGTAAGTACTGGTTTTATGAATACCTTGTAAGAGCCAGTATTGCCTATGTGCTGACTTACTAAAAATCATATTTCTAATGTTGATGTTGGGTACACTATCAAAAGAATAATATTTCTTTCTCATTCATAGTGTATCATGGAGGGGGGGAACAAAGTCTATAAGAAAGTCATTGATTGCATATATGATGACAGATACAAATAAAATTGCAGTTCCAGAATTCATGCCAATCTCCAAGCTCATTAGCATGATAGTGCCTTTCTCATAAAATAGCATAATCAGAAACAGTCTGAAGAACTGTGACTTCTTATTTTTTACTGCAGCAAAATCCTTCATTAGAAACAACTGCAAAACAAAACAAACAAAAAAACCTGACAAACAACAACAACAAAATCAACTGCATACTCCCTTATGTGAAACCTATAAAATAGATGACCTTTGAGGAAATAGAAATATTTTCAGAAAATGTTTTGTATGAGAATCAAAAATGCCATTCCATTTCCTAAAAGTCTTTAGACACAGTGACCTTAGAGATAGCATCAGTGCCTTCCCTCTCTGGGTTCCCACATTGGGAAATGAAACATGGTGGTAACAACACTGTGGCAGACAGAGGAGGCTTATGCTGAAAATCATTCCCATTAATTGGTTGCTGGTGACCTCTGTAATGTGAGAGCCTATTTTACAGTCTGACGTATCTCATGCTGTTTCATTCTTCTTCTCTTCGTGGTAGGCAATTGGCGTCCGGTTGAATGAGCTGTGCCATGGGGAAAGTGAGAGCCCAGCCAACCTGCTGGGTCTCATTTATGATGAGGAGACCAAGAGGAGACTGAGAAAGGAGGATGATGAGGAAGACTTTTTAGATGACAGTAAGGAGACTCCCTTTACTACAAGAACCCCTGCTTGTAAGAACCTCTGCTTTAGGAGCACGTAATATTTCTCTTTCCTCTTTCACATTCTTACCACCTTCCCATGTCTCCCACTGCACCTTCTCCCCTATTCCCTCTGCATGGATGTGAGCATGTGCATAAAGCCACACAAAGAGAGAGCAGGAACCAGAAGGAGAAGACTGTAGACAGGGGCAAAGATTTGGCAATATGGAAAACTCACTGCTTTGAAGTCTCTGACTCTTAATATTGTAAATACGAAGATCAGTTTTAGGCCTACTTGAGAAAACGTAGATGTGCTGCCCCAGAAGAGGGCTGGTCAGGGTTTGTATTTTATTACTGCTCTTGGAGTTTTAAAAAAGGGTTAGACCTGAGGGAGACCTTCAAGATGGTGGAGGAGTAAGACGTGGAGATCACCTTCCTCCCCATAAATACATCAGAAATACACCTACATGTGGAGCAACTCCTATAGAACACCTACTGAACGCTGGCAGAAGACCTCAGACCTCCCAAAAGGCAAGAAACTCCCCACGTACCTGGGTAGGGCAGAAGAAAAAAGAAAAAAGGGAAACAAAAGAATAGGGGTGGGGCCTGTCCCTCTGGGAGGGAGCTGTGAAGGAGGAAAAGTTTCCACACAATAGGAAGCCCCTTCACTGGTAGAGGTAGGGGTGGGCAGGGGGGACGCTTCAGACCCACAGAGGAGAGCACAGCAACAGGGGTGCAGAGGGCAAAGCAGAGAGATTCCTCCACAGAGGATCAGTGCCGACCAGCACTCACCAGTCTGAGAGGCTTGTCTGCTCACCCGCTGGTACGGGTGGGAGCTGGGAGCTGAGGCTTGGGTTTTGGAGGCCAGATCCGAGGGAGAGGACTGGGGTTGGCTGTGTGAACACAGCCTGAAGGGGGCTAGTGCGTCACGGCTAGCCGGGAGGGAGTCCGGGAAAAAGTCTGGAACTGCCTAAGAAACAAGACACCATTGTTTTGGGGTGTGCGAGGAGAGGGGATTCAGAGCACCGCCTAAATGAGCTCCAGAGACAGGTGTGAACCATGGCTATCAGCGCGGACCCCAGAGACAGGCATGAAACACTAAGGCTGCTGCTGCAGCCACCAAGAAGCCTGTGTGCAAGCGTAGGTCACTATCCACATCTCCCCTCCTGGGAGCCTGTGCAGCCCACCCCTGCCAGGGTCCTGTGATACAGGGACAACTTCCCTGGGAGAACATACGGTGTGCCTCAGGCTGTTGCAACATCATATCAGCTTCTGCCGCTGCAGGCTCACCCTGCATTCCATACCCCTCCCTCCCCCTTGCCTGAGTGAGCCAGAGCCCCATAATCAGCTGGTACATTAACCCCGTCCTGTCTGAGTGAAGAACAGTTGCCCTCAGGCGAGCTACACACAGAGGCAGGGTCAAATCCAAAGCTGAACCCCAGGAGCTGTGCGAACAAAGAAGAGAAAGGGAAATTTCTCTGTGCAGCCTCAGGAGCAGTGGATTAAATCTCCACAATCAACTTGATGTACCCTGCAACTCTGAAATACCTGAATAAAGTTCAGGACATTGGTCCACAAGAGACCTCCCGGCTCCACATAATATCAAACAGCGAAAGTTCTCCCAGAGATCTCCATCTAAATGTGAAGACCCAACTCCACTCAACGACCAGCAAGCTATGGTGCTGGACCCCCTATGCCAAACAACTAGCAAGACAGGAACACAACCCCACCCATTAGCAGAGAGGCTGCCTTAAATCATAATAAGGTCTCAGACACCCCAAAACAAACCACTGGACACAGACCTGCCCACCAGAAAGACGAGATGCAGCCTCATCCACCAGAACAGAGGCCCTAGCCCCTCCACCAGGAAGCCTACACAACACAATGAAGCAACCTTAGCCAATGGGGGCAGACACCAAAAATAACGGGAAATATGAACCTGCAGCCTGTGAAAAGGAGACCCCAAACACAGTAAGTTAGGCAAAATGCGAAGACAGAGAAACACACAGCAGATGAAGGAGCAAGGTAAAAACCCACCAGACCAAAAAAAAGAAGAGGAAATAGACAGTCTACCTGAAAAAGAATTCAGAGTAATGATCGTAAAGATGATCCAGAATCTTGGAAATAGAATGGAGAAAATACAAGAAAAGTTTAACAAGGAACTAGAAGAACTAAAGAGCAAACAAACAATGACGAACAACACGATAAATGAATTAAAAATTCTCTAGAAGGAATCAATAGTAGAATAACTGAAGCAGAAGAATGGATAAGTGAACTGGAAGATAAAATAGTGGAAATAACTACTGCCGAGCAGAATAAAGAAAAAAGAATGAAAAGAATTGAGGACAGTCTCAGAGACCTCTGGGACAACATTAAATGCAACAACATTCGAATTATAGAGGTCGCAGAAGAAGAGAAACAGAAAGGGACTGAGAAAATATTTGAAGAAATTATAGTTGAAAACTTCCACAATATGGGAAAGGAAATAGTCACTCAAGTCCAGGAAGTGCAGAGTCCCATACAGGATAAATCCAAGGAGAAACATGCCAAGACACACATTAATCAAACTATCAAAAATTAAATACAAAGAAAACATTAAAAGCAGCAAGGGAAAAACAACAAAATACATACAAGGGAATCCCCATAAGGTTAACAGCTGATCTTTCAGCAGAAACTCTGCAAGCCAGAAGGGAGTGGCAGGACATATTTAATGTGATGAAAGGAAAAAACCTACAGCCAAGATTACTCTACCCAGCAAGGATCTCATTCAGTTTCGACAGAGAAATTAAAACCTTTACAGACAAGAAAAGCTAAGAGAATGTAGCACCACCAAGCCAACTTTACAACAAATGATAAAGGAACTTTTCTAGGCTGGAAACACAAGAGAAGGAAAAGACCTACAATAAGAAACTCAAAATAATTAAGAAAATGCTAATAGGAACATACATATCCATAATTACCTTAAATGTAAATGGATTAAATTCTCCAACCAAAAGATGCAGACTGGCTGAATGGATACAAAAACAAGACCTGTATATATGCTGTCTACAAGAGACCCACTTCAGACCTAGGGACACATACAGACTGAAAGTGAGGGGATGGAAAAAGGTATTCCATGCAACTGGAAATCAAAAGAAAGCTGGAGGAGCAATTCTCATATGAGACAAAATAGACTTTAAAATAAAGACTATTACAAAAGACAAAGGACACTACATAATGATCAAGGGATCAATCCAAGAAGATATAACAATTGTAAATACTTATGCACCCAAAATATGAGCACCTCAATACATAAGGCAAATGCTAACAGCCATCAAAAGGGGAAACTGACAGTAACATAATCATATTAGGGGACTTTAACACCCCATTTTCACCAATGGACAGATCATCCAAAATGAAAATAAGTAAGGAAAGACAAGCTTTAAATGATACATTAAACAAGATGGACTTAATTGATATTTATAGGACATTCCATCCAAAAACAACAAAATACACTTTCTGCTCAAGTACTTATGGAACATTCTCCAGGATAGATCATATCTAGGATCACAAAGCAAGCCTTGGTAAATATAAGAAAACTGAAATCATATCACATATCTTTTCCGACCACAACACTGTGAGACTAGATGTCAATTACAGGAAAAAATTCTGTAAAAAATACAAACACATGGAGGCTAAACAATACACTACTTATAACGAAGAGATCACTGAAGAAATCAAAGAGGAAATCAAAAAATATGTAGAAGCAAATGACAATGAAAACACGATGATCCAAAGCCTATGGGATGCAGCAAAAGCAGTTCTAAGAGGGAGGTTTATAGTAATACAGTCTTACTTCAAGAAACAGAAAACATCTCAAATAAACAACCTAACCTTACACCTAAAGCAATTAGAGAAAGAAGAGCAAAAAAACCCCAAAGTTAGCAGAAGGAAAGAAATCATAAAGATCAGATCAGAAATAAATGAAAAAGAAATGAAGGAAATGATAGCAAAGATCAATAAAACTAAAAGCTGGTTCTTTGAGAAGATAAACAAAATTGATAAACCATTAGCCAGATTCATCAAGAAAAAGGGGAGAAGACTCAAATCAACAGAATTAGAAATG